CCCCCCCCAAAAAAATCACAAAAAAACCCTGTTAAGATCCATCTAGGCATCAGTGAGGTGAAAAACTGGTCTGGATAACTTGCATTTGATAAGAGCAGATACTTTCCATTGCTAGGAAGTCACAGCAGGCATCAACCAAATGACATATTTATCCTGGCTCTTCCTAGCGTGTGATTGTCTGTTTGTTTTTTCAGTTGCATCTTATAGCCCTGAACAGTCCCCAGAGCGGCAGCATGCGAGGCATCCGAGGAGCTGATTTCCAATGTTTCCAGCAAGCTCGGCAGGTTGGACTGTCTGGCACTTTCCGAGCATTCCTGTCCTCTCGGCTGCAAGATCTCTACACCATAGTGCGCAGAGCAGACAGGAGTACAGTGCCAATTGTCAATCTCAGGGTAAGTTGGGTCACAGATCAGAGCAAATTAAGCTTCATCAAAGTACTGAGAGGTTAATCTATTACCTTTAAAGGACAAAATACTGTGATCCCAAAAAGCAAGAACAAATCATAGCAGACTAAACTTAGTTCCTTCCCCCCACCCAAACAATTTGTACTATGTAATTAGTTAATTAATTGATCTTGGTTTAAGCAAGACTTTGCACAAGATAACTCAGCAGGGCTATCAGCAGGGGATCAAATATTTTCCCCCCTCACTGTACATGATAGATAGATGATAGATATAGAGAGACAGACAGACAGACAGGCAGACAGATCACAATATTCTTCTTGGTAATGTGAAAACAAAAGTGTTTATCAGGGTCAATTCAGTCATGCAGAAAGGCAACTGGGCATCACATGTTTTATGATGGATTTAGTTTAACATTTTTGTAAATGCTTTGACAAAAGTATAAAGAAAAAGCTTGTACTGTTTTCAGATGATGTTACAATACAGCACACAGGATTTTGATGGATGGAAATGTAAGACAAAACCTGAGAAAATTGAGTGGATATATCTGATGTCTGTCTTTCAATAGGAAGGATCATTTGCATATATATAGAATCCATAATAACTGACAATAGTAAAAGTTGTGAAAATAATTTTGACTGCAAAGTAAATATGAATCAGCAGGGCAGGGCAGCAGCTGAAATCCTAGAATAATTCTAGATTGCCTCTATGGACATTTTATTCCATAGATATAAGTAGACTAGAATAAAATGTCCATAGAGGCAATCTAGAATTATTCTAGGACTTCAGCTGCCCTGCTGGTTCATATTTAATAAAATCTCTCCTGGGATATAGTAGAGTGTTAAATACAGATATTTTAAGGGTATTGTTTTTTTAAAAAAAATTATGGTGGTATATAACATTATTGATGGTTTTGATGGAACATGGCTAATAAGATGGTAAACATGGCAAGGGATTAATTTTTTAAAGCAAAGGTGAATTGCAGGTAGTCTTTGACTTACAATAGTTTGTTTAGTGACCATTTGAAGTTACAACAGCACTGAAAAGGTGACTTACGGCCATTTTTCACACTTACGACTGTTGCATCATCCCTGTGGTCATGTGATCAAAATATAGATGCTTGGTAACCGACTCATATTTATGATGGTTGCAGTGTCACCTTTTGCAACATCTGACAAGCAACGTCATTGGGGAAGCCAGATTCACTTAACAACCATGTTACTAACTTAACAACTGCAGTGATTCACATGACAAGAAAAGTCGTAAAATGGGGAAAAACTCACTTAACAAATTTCTCACTTAGCAACATAAATTTTGGGCTCAATTATAGTCCTATGTCGAGGATCACCTGTAGTATGGCAAATAAAATTCAGCTCTGAGTAATGCAAGGTACATTACAAAGAAGTAATTACATTTTTTGTCATTATGGAGCAATCAAAATCGACTAGTGAATTAGATGACAGTTTGTATAATATCTCTCTTTACAAGAACAATTTTTACTTACAATAGCCACTTGACCATGACCTTTAAAAGCCATTTGACCCTGCTTTCTTAAAAAAAGTAAATCTTTAATGCCTTTGTCCAGATCAACAAGTTCTACTTTGGACATTAAACATTTAATTACCAAAGAATATTTAAAAATTAATTTAATACAGGTAGTCCTCAACTTGTGATCACAACTGAGTCTCAAATTTCTATTGTTAAACAAAGCCTTAAGTTGTGCCCCGTTTTATGGCCTTTTTTTTTTTTTTTTGCCAGTTAAGCAAATTACTGTGGTTGTTAAGCGAATCTGGCTTCCCCCAAACTGACTTTGTCTGAAACTGGCTGGAAAAGTTGCAAATAGCGATCCCATGATCCCAGGACGCTGCAACTGTCTCATAAATAGTTTCCAGGTGCCTGAATTTTGATCACGTGACCATAGGGATACTGCAACAGTCATGTGAAAACCAGTCGTAAGTCATTTTTTTCCGTGCGGTTATAACTTTGAATAGTTGCAAGTCGAGGACTATCTGTAGAAGCTTAAACCATTCCTGGCATCCCCAAGATTTAGAGTGCTTCAACCCAGCAAGTCTTCAGACTATCTCTAAAAATCTTGTCTTTTCTCCCAAGTTCTGGGCTAAATTAGTGAGCCCAATGAGATATTATTCCCCTTTGTGTTTCAGTCTATTCTTATGTTCTTTCTTCAGGTATTATACTAACTTTATGCTGCCCAGAATCTACATTAAGTCTGGCTTTATAAAATAAATGAACCAATGAATGAACAAACGACTGATATACATATTCCCAAGGTTATAGACAAACAGCATTTTCTAGATATGTCACCCAGGTTCCTTCAATTGGAAAAAGGAAGGAATTTTGACAGATGCCGTCTCAGTGGTCTATAGATTCTTGAAATGGAAAGCTCAGACTAAAGAACATTTCTAGACAGAAAATGTTTTTGGAATACTGCTTAGGCAAACGCGTTGCTCTGTTTTGTTTCTTCCCAGGATGAAGTGTTGTTTAATAACTGGGAGGGCCTCTTCTCGGATGCTGAAGCTCCATTCAGAACTGGGGTTCGCATCCTCTCCTTTGATGGAAGGGATGTCCTGAGAGACTCTGCCTGGTAAGTTGGGGCTGAGGAGGGTGGTTTAGCTTCCAGTGAAGATTTTGGAATGCGCTTAGAGTGTTACTTTGTTCTACTTCCTGTGGAGTGGCACAATGTTTTCAAAGGCATCCAAGGTCTCCTTTCTGACTGATCTTTGTAAGCAATACAGTTTATGTCCCCACCCCACCCCTTCTCCAGCCCACACGATGCATTTTATTAAGACAAGGGATGCAGCAATGAAATGTTTAGAGAGCAAAAAGCTTTGCTTTGTGTTACCTAGCCCTTTAGCAACATTTATTTGTATAACTTGGTGCAGAGCAGAGCAGATGTTTTGTGTGAAGCCACTATCTGGCCCCAGCCTATTTTTCCTTTCCCTGGGGTTAGGTAGTAAGATTTGCTCAGATTTTCTTTAACTTTATGGAGCGTGAGTAGTGGTCACAATAGCTGAGGCACTATTAGGCACTGCAAATCTTATACAAAAATGATGGTCCACCAGGCAGGGAGGCAGAGTTCATGCATGAGATTAAGCCAAGGGATGGTTACACTGTTATGAACCTAGCCACTACTCTTCGACCACGATTTATCCCTTATTAAATTGCACTGACCCAGCCAAGCAGAGTTGACTCAATTATAGCTAAACAGTAACATAGAAGGGTATATGAACACAGTCATGATGGTTCTGCGGGTGAAACGGCCTTAACGTGAGTGTATTTTTCAGGCCTCAGAAGTATGTGTGGCATGGCTCCGATTCCAAGGGGCGGCGATTAACAGAGAGCTACTGTGAGACATGGCGGACAGATGACACCGTGGTGACTGGCCAGGCTTCCTCGCTGGCATCAGGCAAGCTGCTCGAACAGAAGAGCAACAGCTGCAGAAACGCCTTTGTCGTCCTTTGCATCGAAAACAGCTTCATGACCTCTTCCAAGAAATAGAACCCCTGAATGTGCTGATTGCAAGTGGAGGCCGGGAGTCCAAATGTTCCCCCTTCTGCAATGGGGAGCAGGCAGGGGATTCCTCCCCCTCCACCGTCAATCAGGATAATGCATCCAGCCAGTTTCATAATATAGCAACCAAGCAGATAAATGAACAAGAAAGCCAAAGAGCATCTGCCTATGATTTCCAGCACAGATAGGATGCTGTTTTTTTTGTTTTTTGTTTTGTTCTTGTTTCCTCTGAGTACCACTGCTGGAGGGGCTCAGGCACAGCAAGATTGTATGCAAGGCAGTCTCCAGGCAAGGTCAGCTCCCAAAATGGTTCTGGTTTCTCTCTCTCTCTCTCTCTCTCTTCTGCTCTTACAGTATGTAACATTTGATGGCCTTTTTCTTGTTATCCTAAAGCTTCCCTGACCGTCTCCCTTTCCCTCTTGCCTTAAAAGAGAAAACCCAGGTCAAATGGGATGTCAGAGATCTATTTATTTTTACTGATCAGTATAAAAGGGCTTCCCCAAACAGGGACATTTGGAAGCCCCAATTGTGAGCGTGTTAAATCCCAATCACTTGGCATTCAGGATACCATCTGCTCCTCTGTTAGGAGCTAAAGGAAACATATTATCTTGCTGAAAAATCCATGACCAAAATTAAGAGTTTTCTAGTCCCCAGGCAGGCTTTCCTGAATCTGCCCTGCATAAACCTCAAAAACATCCTTTTCCAAAAAAGTTGCCCTGGCAACTCGGCTGGCTCTGCCAGCTGGCTCAACTGCTTTTGCTTTTTTTTAAAATTTCAGACACAGAAGGGAGTAACACTGCTCCCTTCAAAGGCTATTTACAATTCCTGCTACAGAGATGCTACAACATCCTTTGCAAAAATAGGGTCAGAAGAGAGAGACAAAGAACACTAGTCGTTATGAAGCCCCATTCTCCCCATGTCCTTTAATTGCCCATTTCTTGTTCTTCCAAGAGACAGGAGTATTAAAAGGAACAGCCTTAAAGGTAATTTAGAGGTAGGATTTTCCTTAGAGGCCTGGAGGGAAGCAAATTTACCACAAAAAAGAATCTGTATTTGTTCCTTTATTGAGGATTTTTTTTGTTGTTAATTGTTAAAAATATTTTTCTTCTCCGCTTTGCAGGGAAGTTGCCTTTACCTTTGCCCAGAAACTGGGTTACAGCAAATTCTGGGGAACCCCAGAGTTCCCATTAGTTACCAGAGCCCTGCCAATCTTGTCCCTTGGCCCTGCTGATAGCAGCCACCCCTTGGAGAGAGAGTTTGTTCTATGCCGATCAACCCATTCAGCTTTAAACCTCAGCTACAAAACACCAGGGAGCACATAACAGGAGCAGTCTCTGGCTTTGAAAAGTAGTTGCTAGGTAACAGTAGAGTAGACAAGGAAGCCAAATGCACCCACAAGGAGCTGCTTTCAGCGCATCAGGTTAACTCAAATCCTGACAACCCCCCTCCCCAATGCCAGTGGAGGCTGGAGGTCCAAATTGGCTAAGTGCTGTTAGCCACTCCTTTGCAACCAAAAAGAGACCCACCCCTCCAGTCTTTGATTGTCTCTTCCCCTGCTCCTAACACTGGGGTAGGAACCATGCCTACACATTCCAAAGCATTAAAGCACACGGATATTTCAAGGGGTGGAAGCCTCTGGAACACAGACTGGTGTCGTATCTAAATGCTTTGTTCCCCTATAAAAGCATGGCTGGATTCCTGATCCTGGCTGCAGCCTTTTAAAAAGGGCAGGTCACAGCAAAGCAGCTTGACATCTTTCCTCTGCATGTAGACTTATGGAATGCTATGGAATGTTTGATCCACATCACCCGTCTTGCATTTTGGTGTCCAAGACTCAGCCAGGCTGAGGCTTGCTCCATACCCATTCATTTGAGTCGGTTTTTAAAAACCAAGGTGCTAAATTCCTACCTAAGCTTTGTTTTTATTGTCCTAATAAAATGCTATTACTGCGGTGGGGAAAATTTGTGCAAGTCATAACAGTCAGTTTTCTTACTGTCTACTGTATTTTGTGACATTTTAATGCAGTTTTAAAAGCCTGTGGACCTTTATATCTTTGTCAGTTGCGTGTTGTGTATTATAAACTGTTTTCTAAAGGCACTGAATAAAGGAAAGTATCCTCCTATGTTTTGTGGGTCTTTATTGAAATCTTAAACCTAGTCCTGGGGTAAAAGATGCTGCTGGATATCTGTGAAGCACCCCTGAGTTACTGGAATCCAGAGACGACCCAGGGCTTCAAAGCTATGACTCCCAAGCCACAAGACTTGCTGCATACTGTATTTTAAATAAAAAAAATATGCATTGTAAATAAAACTGCAGTTCAACAAGCTAAGAAATGCACAGAGGCTGCTGCTTGAAAATTCTCTGCTTATGCTTGAACCTACTTTCCTTTCAAATCGTGCTTTTCCAGCAGGGTCCTGAAGGGATTATGTGAGTTAGTTACATAAAAAATGGCTTGAAAAGAAATGCTCAGATTTTGTGAAAGCAGAGCACAAGCATTCATCAAAATGAAAGCTCTTGCTTTCTAATGAAGATTAGATTGTCGGGCTCACTTTGGTCCTATGTCTGCCAGTCAGTATTTTCATGAATTTAAGGGCATTTTGGGGAGAGGAGGTAATTTCATTCTTTGCAATATGCTTTCTGAATGTGGCAGATTACAATGACCAGGGTTCAATTATGAAAGGTATCTCTGTTTTCCTATAAGGGGGAAAAAGAGAAATGTGTCTCGAGTTACTAAGAGTCACATCACAGTACCAACATTAAAAGTGTCTTAGTCTCACTTGCTCTGGTGACTGGCAAATTTACATGACAGAACTAGGAACACAAGTGTTTAAAAGCAAATTCAAACAGTCATAAAATTAAGTGCTCAATTATAATATTGGTAAATATTTCAGTATACAGTAGCTTGGCTCAAGAGGAAAATGCCTGTAGAAGAAACAGGGAGAACTGTAGCTGCCAGAAAAGTCAACTGCACCAAAGTTGCATCTGAAACCAAGCCAGGTTTTCTCTGAACTTCTACAGAGATCCAATGTTCTGAAAACAGGGATGCACTGACTGTGATAAGTGCTGATTGTCTTGAGAGTTGCCACTGGTCTCATCTCAACTGAGACATTGCAGGAAAATCCATCTCCACGTAGTACACAGATTGTGGTATTTCTCAGGCTTTGGAAGTAGCCAGTTCCGGGCTTCCCTCCTTGTCCATATTCTCCTCAACTGGGCTAGAGAGTTCTTTGGCTGGTGTGGCCACTTCTTGGGGTGTCTTGCAGGAACTCTGCCTTGCCATCATGTACACAAATGACAAAAGATACAGTATGGCCAGAACAGTGAAGTAGACGAAGTAAACGTAGAACTGGAAGAGGAGAAAATGCATGAATATTTTGAAGAACAATACAGGGCTTTAGTAATAACTTTAATGCACAAAATAACTTTAATGCACAAAAAAAATGAAAGCATCAATCCACTTAAAGGGGGAAAAAATTAGAAATGGATCTTTAAAAGAGCAGTATAGGTAATCCTCGACTTAACGACCACGACTGAGCTCAAAATTTCTATTGTTAAGTGAGACATTTGTTAAGGGAGTTTTGCCCCATTTTACGACTTTTCTTGCCACAATGGTTGAGTGAATTATTGCAGCTGTTATTAACACGGTTGTTAAGGTGAATCTGGTTTCCCCGTTGACTTTGCTGGTCAGAAGGCCGCAAAAGCTGTTCACATGACCCCAGGACAACCGTCATAAATGTGAACCAATTGCCAAGCATCTGAATTTTGATCATGTGACCATGGGGATGCCGCAACTGTTGTAAGTCTGAAAAATGGTCGTGTCACTTTTTTTCAGGTGCCATTGTAACTTTGAACGGTCACTAAACAAACTATTGTAAGCCGAGGGCCTTGACATTGGATCAGCTCAATGGGTTCATTCAGTGTAGCATCCTACTGTCCACAGTGGCCCTCCAGACCCCTCTTGAAAATTCTACCTCCCCACCTGCTATCAGCCTTGTTATTTTTCAGTCATGCCCTACAGTACCTGAACACAAACTCCGGCCCTACCTAGCCATCAGCAGTCAAACCCAACTTCCTTCCTGAGAAGAGGGAAGAGGGACAGGCAGAGGAATCTTGCCACCTCAATGGCAGTGACGTGGAAAATTGGACTCTGCGTGAGTAAAGTTATGTTTTCAGCACCAATGTAATTTCAAACAGTTGCTGAGCAAGTGGTTGGGGAAGCGAGGACTACCTGTATATTTAAAGTATGAGAAAGATAATGCTGGTTTTCATAAGTAACCTGCTTTTGAACTTTTGTCATTCCGGCTTCTATTACCAAAAAGAGAGTATACTTACTTACTTAACTGAGATTAAGTTAGCTTCACTGACTAAACTGGGCTTAATAGGTATTAATGGTAGGCAATGTAGAGCCTCCAGCTTTTGGCACTATAGCCAATAATAATTTATTTGCCGGCCCTTGGACTGTGTAGTTCATCGACAATAAAATTTAAACTAAATGGAAAAGTTCCACTGTGGAGAATTATCTTTCTCCAGCACTGGAGATGGAGAATCCACCAATGGGTTGAGACTGTATTCCTGCCCAATCAGATCAGTCAGCCAAAGTTGCCACGCCCGTCCTGGACCACGAGATCCCAGTCTTGACTGATCTCGCCCACTGGACAGACGTGCAAGCTTGGCTCTTAGGCAAGTACAGTCTACCATTGGTGGATTTCATTTCCAGTAGCTAATTGGATTATTTAATTTGAATTAGATCATTGCAAATTCTAAATTTTTCTTCCCAAAAAAAGGCTAGAGATACCTAAATTCCTCACTGGGGAGGTATCAGGCCTTGTTGGGGACGGGGTCCCATCCCCCTCCACACAAACTTCCTTGGGTTTGTTGGTCAGGGGCAACTTTTATACGCTCCCCCCCATTCCACACACACACAAAACAGGCAAAGCACAGCCTTCCTAATAGACAGTTTCCACTGAACAAGGAGCAGCTACCATAACTGTAGGGTAACTTGCTCCTTTCCTTACCTGGGGATGGACTGGGAGAGCCAGACCACTCTTATCAGTTATGATGATAGTGATGATGGTTTTGAGAACTGTGGCTAGGAAAGTGTTGACACCAAACACCAGAGCGCAGAGTTCTTTGGACAGCGAAGATGCAATCTGGAAACTTCAGTCAGAAAGAGAAAACAAATGAGCTTTTCACGACTACAAAATAGCCTGAGCAGAAAGAAGAGAAACTGGGTAAGGACTCAGCTTTTTGCTGGATTCTGCTGATCTGCTAAAACATCTTTGCAAATGGGGGTCACCCACAATTGCTACCGTGAGTTTTATTTAAAATTTCCAAGTGTTACAGCAGACTCTTCCATCCACCTCCTGATATTTATAATACATACGCCAACACAATGTGCAGGATTACAGTCAACCCATCTGAGGAAAGCAAACTATGGAAGGGTATGGTACAGCAATACTACTGCTATAAATTTGAGGGAGTGTAAAAAAGATGTAAAAAAGATGTTGAGACTCTAGAAAGAGTACAGAGAAGAGCAACAAAGATGATTAGGGGACTGGAGCTAAAACACATGAGGAACAGTTGCTGGAATTGGGTATGTCTAGTTTAACAAAGAGAAGGATGAGGGGGGACATGATAGCAGTATTCCAATATCTCAGGGGCTGCCACAAAGAAGAGGGAGTCAAGCTATTCTCCAGAGCACCTGAGGGCAGGACAAGAAGCAATGGATGGAAACTAATCAAGGAGAGAAGCAACCTAGAACTAAGGAGAAACTTCCTGACAGTTAGAACAATTAACCAATGGAACAACCTGCCTACAGAAGTGGTGACTGCTCCAACACTGGAAGTTTTTAAGAAGAGACTGGACAGCCATCTGTCCGAAATGGTGTAGGGTTTCCTGCCTGAGCAGGGAGTTGGACTCGATGACCTCCAAGGTCCCTCCCAACTTTTTTTTTTTTTATTATTATTATTATTATTATTATTATTATCAATCATCGCACAGTCAGCCAGATGTTCAGACTGGATTTGGCATTTTGTCTGCCTATCGAGTCCTTACCCAGGACCTGGGATAGGCAGATGTGGATGTTTGATGATATTACAGATATCGTCGCAGGATGGAAGCAGTTCCTAATAAGGCCGCCTTTTGCAATTGACTAATAGCGAATTTGTCAATGCCAATTGTGTTCAAGTGGTGCTCCAGTTGTTTTGGGATTGCACCCAAGGAGCCTATGACTATTGGTACTACCCTTGCTTGCTTTTGCCACAGTCTTTCTATTTCTATTTGTAGGTCTTTGTATTTTGTTATCTTCTCCAGTTCTTTCTCTTCTATTCTGCTATCTCCAGGCACTGCCATGTCCACTATCCAGACTTTTTTGTCTTTCTTATCGGCAATTGTTAAGTCTGGGGTGTTATGTTGCAGGTGCTTGTCTGTTTATTATTATTATTATTATTATTATTATTATTATTATTATTATTATTATTAAACTATTTTCAGATTAGTTGCATTAACCCACTGGTCTGACAGAATAGCTAGAACATCTGATCCACTATTTTCCAGTTTTAACATCCTTACAAAAATCCTATATTATTCAGGAATATTGCACTGTGTTTGGAACCCGCTCCGCATACTCTGTACATGTATGTATGCAAGCATGTAACTTTACAGGCTTGTAAATGATAGCTCTCACTCCAGTGCTGAACTAGTTTCCTGGGTTGATGGAGGCTCTATGTATCCATTTTTACCAGTATGTAAATTTAGTTGTCAGTTCTCACCATCTTCACTCACATGGCTATAGGCACGAGAAACTGGTAGGAGCCCCTGAAAAGGACATAGGCCACATAGCACAGCCAAATATTGGCAGTTGTGTTCATCAACAACAATAGGCCTGCCTGGACTGCTGTCACAACCCCAATCACCAGTTTTGACCAGAAGGCCCATCGGATCTTCACAAAGCCAGCAGAAAAAGCAGTGATGGCACCTAGGAAAACACAAAAGTTTGTCAAGACGGGACAAGTCCTTTATAGCCATACGGGGCTCTAGTTTTCTATGCAATATTCTACCAAGGGATGAAGTAGGTATATGCAGCAATGTCATGGGGGAAAAAATATTCTCAAACAGAATTTGGCAACTTTTCTGATCTGGAATGCAATACTCTTAGCAATCAAACTGTTCTGCATCCATTCATTATAACTGAAACATATATCTACTACATGTATACTATTCAAGGAGGCTGGCTCACTTTCAATGGCATATATGTAGTAGATTTTGTCCAAGGCCAGAGATATGATGAATCAAAGTGAATGCACCCAGACTCATATGGATTTTTGGATGGTGTAAATTAATTTGGGGGGATAGGAATGCAGTTGCAAATTTAAGAGGATGTTAGGATTGCAGAAGAACTGTTGTGGAATAATATAAAAAGAGACATCTCAGGGAAATATCTGAGTTCTTTTTATATGGTGCTGATCACTTCTTCCAATGGTGTTTTTTTCTTGCTGGAAGTGATGCTTCTCTATCTTTTTGACTCAGATGACATGAACTGAGCCTGTGATCTCTGATATTAGTGAACCAGATAAGACGTTCATTTTACATGCTTGGTAACAGGGGAAGTTGCATACCTAAGAAGATTTGACCAAGCAAAAGAGCACTCACTGAGGGCTTAGCATCTTCCCCATGTTTCCCTACAACTTTCTATGCAAGATGACTAACACAGGTCATCTCATCATTCCCAAATGATTTTTACAACAGCTGCAAATTTCTTAGAACTACAAGAATGGGAATCAAAACCAAATAATTATAGAGTATCCATGATGACCTTAGTAGACATAAAGAACCTGTCTTTGCATTCAGATGCTTAGGGCAGTGGAATTGGATAGTCTACTTCATTATTAGTGGAGCTCTTGATTAGTCTCTGTTGGGGGCATAGCAGAGCGAAGAGATAAATACGTAAAACACAACTGCAGAGGGAGAGAAATATCCATATATACCAAGCAGGGTAGAAACAGCTTCAACTCCACCATTGTAGACCTTTCTATTGTCCTTGGCAGGGTATATTTCATTCCATAAAATATGCACATAATAAAGCATCAGATAGTAGCCAGCAGAATTGAATATCCACCAGAGGGACCAAAGTCTCAGCTGCGGCATTTGTACAATAGTCCTCAACTCCTTTACCATCCGGAATAAGATCAGATTTTTCCAGGAAGAGGCCTTATGCCACATGGGCTCCCCTGCCCCAGGGTTCATTTTGTCCAGTTCTGAAGGCGAGGTACCATTACACCAGCTCTTGTTCCTGTTGAAGAAGAGGCTGCGTTTCGGACGCTTCAGGAAGAGGGTCAAGAGCAGCCCAAAGCACATAAAGCCCAATGAGATATAATTCACTGTCATGAAAGTGGTGCCTCCAACTGTGACACAGAGTTGTCCCACCACGGAACTGGTGAAGACACCCATCAGCACTGAAGACCGGGAATAACTGGCCATGCGTTGATAGAGTGACGGGGTGACCAGGGTGAAGATGTAGGAGGAGTAGGCTATCCGCGTAGCCATCGTGATGCCATAGAAGAACTCCATGAACTGCATGGCAATGACGTTGGTACCAAAAATCAACAGAAGCCAGATAGCAATGTGGCTCAAGCTCTGTAGCACCAACATTGGCTTGTACCGCAGATAGTCCGTGAGTAGAAAGATGGGCACTAATACTGCCATGTAAGAGTACGACAGGACAGGTGTAATTTCATTGGTCACCTGCAAGAGAAAACCAAAGCGCAAGTGATTTATACTAGTGAGTAAACCAAAGAGATAAAGAACTCTAGTATGAAAGAGGCCACATGCACTTTCACCTGTATTCTAATCATCTAGGTGCTCCTCCTTCATAATTTACTAATCATTTGGGTGCTTCTTCCTCACATTCTCTTTTTCCTCAATAGGCACCAAGACTAATTCTAGGTACTAGCCATCCTGGGCTTGGAAAGCTGGAAACAAAACAACTATACAAGTAGGATCAACTGATGCAAAGACCTAGGGCTGGGCCTGGGGTATCCATAAGAGAAAGAAACCTCTACCGCCATAACAACTTGACGGCATTCTGGGTGAATGGAAATACATTGATCACTGGGCAGGACTGAAAGGAAAGAAAAACAGATTCACAACTAACATAGAAAATTATTCAATGCTACTAAGCTAGATTATGTCCTGGTTCATCAGACAAACTACTGTATTTTTATCAAAATTCCTAGGGATAAAACGGAGTTGTCCACAATGGAAAATGAAACAACAGCATGCAGCTTATAAAAGAAGGCAAAGCACCTTCAAAAAGAAAGGTTCCTGGTGGCTGAAGGGAAGAGAAAAAAAAAAAATCTTCATTCACATGTTGAAGACAATTGTTTGGAAGAATAACTGCCCCCCTCTCCTTCCTCCCCCCCCCCAGTTTATGGAAATACAGTGTATAGGAAAACTGAAAGCTGCTTTATACCAAATCAGACCACTGATAGCTGACTGGTAATATTTCTCTGATATTTCAGACTGGAATTTTTCACAATGTCTTCATGTCTTAGACACCCCTCTACCCTCTTAGTTTTTCCAATAGTCACTGATCTCCGCTCTGGTTGAAATCTGCATGTACTGTTTGCCAAGGAGGTTGATTAAGCTTCTTACAGTTGCCTTAGACTGGAATTTGAAGTGTTTTAGCCATGTCAACACAGCAGCAGGAGACTCTGAAGTCTGGCTAGGTTGAGGTGTCTTGAGTGCTCACCAACACTGCTCCCCCAAATCTCCCTCAGACAGCAGAGTAGAAGTATAGAGAAGATTAAATTCACTTTCAGTGACAAGAATGCCAAAAGAGTTTGATTCAAGAGATCTTTGTCCTGACCATCCTGTCATATCTTTTTTTTTAACTAGAAACCTGTAGAACTCCCTAGCCTGATATCTCCCAGAGGTATTTCTCTTCAAGCACGCTTCCATGAAATTTGGGAAGGTGAAGTCCAACTTTCGGGCATATTCCCGCGGGAAGAATGGTATGTAAGAATATACTTCAGGAAGAATGAATAATTCCTTTTCCATAACTCAAGGTATTATCAGTCCTGTGAGCACGGGCTCACTACAACTTGGCATTTGGTAGCTCATTATTCCTCTCTCTTCTACCCTCAAAGGACGTCTGTCAACTTGAGCCGTTTGTTCTGGTCAAGGAGTTTGGGATATTTTAGCAAAAGTAGCTGAGCACACAGTTTATAAATGGAGTTGATGCAGAATATATGAGGCCTCCTCTATCTCTGGATTCATATATCTATACTTCTAGATCAGGGATGGACAGCCCGAGCTCCAGGGATCAACTGACTGATGAACTGATTGACTTGCAGCCCTGGAGCCCATTTGAACCACAGCTGCTGAAAATCAGTGACATGATTTGCAGCCACTGAGGTAAGGAACATGCAAAAAAACCATAGCGCAAACCCTAGAATTTAGGCTTAAACTTAGTGAGGAATGCCCTCCCCAACTGCTCCTCACAAAGCCAGACAAAATACAGAGAATACATCAGTCCCACTGATAGCTATAGCTCTGCCCAATGTGGTACCCCAGTTCTTCGGAAATAAATAAATGAAGTCCTTCACCCTGCCATCATGAAATTCCTTTGAAACCCGTTTCCAGCCTTTCGCATCTTACTTATTCAGCTGTGAATCTTCTCTTATAACTCCATCTGAAAATGTCTTCTCCTATGGCTTGCCTATTGAGACATTTAATATCAGGTATCTTTTTAATATTAGGCCAGCCCATTTCTCTTACTGGAGAATTTTTGTAACTTGTTTATTAATTTAATTAGTACATGCAATACTTTGTGCAAAGGGAACAATTGTTCTTTGCGTTTTCATATTTTTAAGTAACTTTTATTACTGGCTGTTTTTCATGTTTCAATAGGTTGAGTTTTAAAATGATTTTATAAGTCTTCATTTTTGACTGAGAGCTGCCCAGAGTTGGTTGAAAGATGGGCAGCTATATAAATGTTTTAAATAAATAAAAACATGCCCCCCCCCCAAAATTCAGCTACTAGACTTTGATTAAAGTGACAATTCTACTCCACAACCCTCCAACCATTATAGCGCATAGCATTAAACAAAGAGGTATCCATAAGCCAGGAGTGATTCTGCCCCTCTCCCAACACACATCTCAGCATGCAAAGAAGTTGCCATGGATTAATTGACAACCTAGGGTGCACAGCAGTCAGGCAGAACAAAATGTTTGGGAACAGATTGCCTGCCTATGTGTGATTGTTTTTTGCCAAAACAACAAGAGCTGCCAATGTCCCAGAGAGACCTCGCAAAGGATCAGAAGAAAATAGACCTTGCTCAATACTAAAAGAAGATCAAGTGTTCAAATAGAAACTTAATGAAACTAGAGCAGCAGGTCACAGCCACCTACACATAGCCACTGCGAAAGTCCACCTTTGGGGAGGGCAATTAATTCCTCGTTCTAAGCTTTTGGTTCTTTAAAACTACTAAATAGAGAAATCCATAAAACATTTTAAGTATTTTAAATATTTTTTTAAAGAAACAAACCAGTAGTAGTATATTAGCTAATTGAGAAATTGGTCAATTGATTCTTAGGAAAATAGACTGAAAATAAATATTAATCTGTATTTAGAATGCTTATTTTAAAAAAATTCCTGGGATGTGACCAACCACATAATCATTTTTGGATATGCTTATACTTCTATAAAAATAGTTATACCCAGCTTTCTATTTAAAAATAAGTGGAACAATGTAGTATGTTACTACCGTATATGCCGGCGTATAAGACGACTTCCGGAAGCGCTAAACTCGGCGCCAAAGACGGGGGTCGTCTTATAGTCTGAGTCGTCTTATACGCCGGAAATACTGGTAGTTTCTGGCGTATAAGATGACATTCTAGGAAGGCGACTCGGCGATAAAGACGGGGGTCGTCTTATACACCGGGTCGCCTAATACGCCGGCATATACGGTATATTAAAAAAAAATCAGTATCTCAAGCCCCCATGAGTCATCCGCTACTTAGCAATAGCAATAGCACTTAGACTTAGTCCTTCACAGTGCTTCACAACCTTCTCTGAGCAGTTTACAGAGTCAGCGTATTGCCCCCAACAATCCGAGTCCTCATTTTACCGACCTTGGAAGGATGGAAGGCTGAGTCAACCTTGAGCCGGTCAGGATCAAACTCTTGGCAGTGAGCAGAGTTAGCCTGCAATACTGCATTCTAATACTTAGCATCTTTAAGGAAGAAAAAAAGAAAGACCATTTCAAACTACTGAAATTACAAAGAGGTATTTTAATTCTATGAATGAAGATGCTGAACTAGTATCTTGATTCCAAATAAAAACATACTTGTTTATTCAAATATAAGTTCCAAAACAAATTATTTCTCTCTGTGTGTGTGCGTGTTTGTGCGTGCGTGTGTGCACATGCACCTTCAAGTCAGTCTTGACCCCTGGAAACTGGCTGGTTAAGCCCTTGCAATTTTCTTAGCAAGATTTTCAGAAGTGGTTTGGCTTTGCTTCCTTTCAAGGGCCGAGAGAAAATGATTTAGCCCTAAGTCTCCCAGCTGGCTTTGTTCAAATTCTACTGGTCAGTGATTTATATATGGAGGCACTGAAATTGGGGAATAAGGAAGGAGTTCAAGAATGAGAACAGAGTCACAGATGACTTATGCTTTTACTCCCACTCTTCAGACTATTCCAACCCCACCCAACTGGATAAAACTTATACCTACTAAAATCAATTTGGCTATCAAATTAGAAAGACATGATCCTGGGATATTTCTGGAAACTATTAATAAAATGCAAAAGGTGAGGGGTGCTGCAAGTACTGGATTGCCCAACTTTGCATGAGAAGTTGTGATGATCAGTTTGCATTACAAAACAACGAAGATCAATGGAGAAAACCAACACTAAAATGTTTACATCTTTTGTAATGACTAAGTGGAATTTGTTCTTCTGGATTTGCCAGCATGAATGTTCAGCAATCCATTGTGAGGCATGGCATAAATGTCTCTTTCTCTCTCTTATACTCACAGGCACCAATGCTGTGAACACACTATTATCTACTAACTCTTCCGGCAAGCATTATTCTACTATAATATAACTGAGTAGCATAAAGCTTTATGACTGTAAGTCATCTTAGCAAGATCAACATAATCTTGTCTCTGAATGAAGAAACTTATTTCCTGGTGGCTGAGCTCTTTCCCTGAAATTGTGTTAAGTCCAAAAGAGTAAAAAAAAATCTGGGGAAGGAGGCCTGGCTAGTTCTATCCTGATCTTAGAGGAAGATAGTGTCCTTTATTTACAGGAAGTGGTCAAATAAAAAACACATTGTTAAGACTTGACTTTAATAAAGCTTCCTTTCATCTACCCAATAATGATTTCCAAACACAAGTAGAGTTTGTAAAGTAAAGATTTCAAAGGTGAAGTCCTTTTCAAGGCCACCATGAATTAGCCAGCTTGGAGAAATCAGAGAGCATTCTGCCATTCCCAAACCTTGAATAGGTCCTAATTTCAGATAAACCCATTTATAATTTCATTTAAAGAGTTAAGCTATGATTAAGCAAACTAGTGTTCTGACCTAGATGAAATCCTTTAACTTAGAAGAAATCTGTAGCTTTGGAACTGCATGAAGCCCCACCCTCAGTCAGTTTTGGCCTGGGCTTCTTTTCCAGGCCAGTCCATCATTGGGAGAATGATTCCATATACAGCATACAAAGGCACCACAGAGCTATGTTCTTTACAATTTTCTCCCTTTCCACATAGTACTGTACTGCTCGGGCTTTAACGTCTTGCCTTATCCAGTAGATCAGTATTGTCAATTTCAACAACTTTAGAACTCCCAGAACTGCCTAGCTAGCATGCTGGCTGAACAATTCACCCTCAGTCAATTTTGTGATGGCCTCAAAGATATCCTGTTATGATTCTTTGTCAATGATTGCTAAAAGCTAATAGCACAATGCCTTGTCATTCTGAGGTGCAAAACACATGCGTTTAAGTGTGTCTAAGTGTACTGTAAGCCCTCAACAGGCATTTCATAAGAAACTAAACTCCCCAAACTGAGCCCTCCTCATATATATGATGTAGCCTACAAAAATGTTAAATATGGTCTTTGGCCACCTCAATTTTACTCAATTCATGGAATTAGCTGGGAATAACCATTCATTTGATAAAGACAACAGTGCAATACTCAAAATGTAGCCTTCCATCAGCTCATCAACGGAGTCAGTACCACAGTTTGGAATCACAGCAACCAGCTTCAAGCAAGCTGGAGAAATTGTTAACTGATTTCACTAAATTTAGGAGCACGTCGAACTGTCTAATTCACATGACTTTCTACTTTCTATCACTGCCTGTAATTGGTACAAAGTATTAAATGAGGCAGAGCTACTACAGAATAATCATGGGGTCGCTTCTACAAAAAAGGTAAAATAAAATAACCCCAAAAGAGGAGGAAAACTTTACAAGGATTTATTTTTTAATATTTTTAAAAGTTCTAATGTGTACCATGTGATATCTTGACAACAACAAAGATTGTATCATGAAGCACAGCTTTCCCAAAGTGTGTCCTCCAGATGCACTTCACCACAATTCCAACCATAGCTATCTTGACTAAAAATGATGAGAACTATAGTCCAATCCATCTGGAGGGATCCAGAACGGAAAGAGTGATCACAAGAATTCACTTAAGCAATCGCATTAGGCATTTACCTTGCTAGCTTGCATTGCCAAACTATTTGCTGAATCAAAAGTTAAATCTTAAGCCTTCACTTCAGATTATCAGGGCGACTGGTAGCAGGTATGCTCAGTCTGAGACTCCTTTCAGTTTTATTTTTAACTGGGAGAAAAAGCAGGTTATCCCACTGCTTTACTATTTCAAATTATGTTTTAATAACTACCATTACTGCATTAATATGTTGGAGCAGAATGCATGCATACACATACCTTTTTTAATTTAACTCAGAAGCAAGCTAGCTCTGTGGAATTCTCTTCCCATCTCAGCCCTCATGCTGGCCTTTAGTCACAGAAAGTCTGTGTAGGTCTGTTTGTTCCTAACCCAATCATCCCTCTATGCCAGTAGTTCTCAACCTTTTTAATGCCGCGACCCCCAACCGGTCGTAAGTTGAGGACTACTCAACCGGTCGTAAGTCAAGGACTACTCAACTGGTGCAGCACCATTTGCAGAATGGGACTTTTGGTGGGTTCAGCAGGGCAGAGACAGCCTGGACAATTCCTATTGGCTTTTGAAAGCCAATAGAATTAGACTCTATTCAAGAGAGTCTATTCTATTGGCTTTCAAAAGCCAATAGAATAAAAGGGAGTAGCACAGCTAAGGAAAAGGGGGAAAAAATGGCGGACTGCGTTGTTTGGCGACCCCTGTGAAATGGTCGTTCGACCCCAAATGGGGTCCCGACCCACAGGTTGAGAACCACTGCTCTATGCTCCATGAGCCCATGATCCAAGAGCCAAATAAAAAGAAGGAAAAAAGAAGGATTTATTACTCCTCCCATGCACTGTAGCAACATCCTCTTTCCTCCCTCCACTGTTCCATTAACAGAGTCATTCCTAGCATTTTGTGAAAACTATTGCTGCTCGGAAAGTCTTCTGCAAGACCACTCAACACCCCACTCTTCACTGCATTCTTCAGACCATTGCAACTAATCTGTCCTGTGTGTGGCTAATACGTCAGATGATCTCACCTTTTCCTTTGTGAAATTCTTCTCAGATCCCAACAGGTAGGGTGTGATGAAGCTCTCCCCAGGTCTAATCTGGCTCATGAAGCCGTAGAAACAGAGGTAGGTAACAAGGTACTTCCAGCGTGGGTCTGGTGGAGGGTCAGGAGGCTGTTTTTCCATTTTTTCAGCCTCTTCAGACATAGCTCCCTGCTAGCTCCTTGGGCACTTTGAAAAGGAACGGATTCTTTTCAGTGAAGGCCCACAGTGCTGGATTTATTCTTTGTTCAGTTTGGGTACAAACTCCAACATGCAGAGGTATGCCTGGCTGGTATGTCTGAAAGAAAAAAGGAGAGAAGGTGGCACCTCAGGAAATTTCCTGGTGAGAACATCACAAACTAATCCCTACTTTCGTCTCGTCAGGAATGTGTTGGCTTTGCAATATTTCCTGAACAAAACCATGCTCTCTTTCCACAAATGTCTTCTACGGTCTATTAAATATTTACATGATAACCAGTGACCAATACAGTGGAATGTTTCAAGTCAGCCAGATGAAAATATTCAAAAGGGGGTTGGGGGGGGGTGAGGGAAATCAAGGGAACCCAAATAAAGAAACATGGAACACTGTGGTGAAACAAAGTTTATTTAGCTGGATTGCTGTTTTTATAAATAACAACTAATACTAGTATCATTTCTTCATCTACTACACTTAAGTCTTGTCACTGAAACACACTTTCATTACACAACCTCTCTAGGACAGATTAGAAGGCCAAAAACTTAAGAGCATACAGCAGGGGTCTCCAAACTTGGTCGCTTTAAGACTTGTGGACTTCAATTCCCAGAATTCCTCAGCCAGTATGGCTGGCTGAGGAATTCTGGGAACTGGAGTCCACAAGTTTAAAGTGGCCAAGTTTGAAGACCCCTGGCATACAGGGTCCCTCACAGTGGAGGAATGAGTTGAATTACACATAAACTCAATAGTACAATACAGAATAGCATTCTGTCATACTAACTTCTGATAATAGTATTGTACTAATTACCAATTTAAAAAAACACAAAGTTGACTTTGATGTTTTGCGCCTTCATTTCGTATCCACACTTTTCTTGCCAATGCAGAAATATTTTTGTTGGCTTTTTTTGTGTGGATTTCCCTGTCTAGCTTAAACTGTTGGGCTATTCTGAGAGTGTCTTTCACCTGTGTTCCTCAAGTCTGATTCTGTCTAATCTTGAAACCCAAGGAAGGTCAGTTGGTGCTATCATACCCTTCTTCTAGTTTTTTATCTATTACTTCATGTGCTAAGGAGGGATAGATGTAAATAGGGATATATGTCAAAGAAGACAATGATCTTGTTAGGAGCCACATTTAAGTCTTGTAGTTTTGTCAAAAATTGTGTGGATGATGTGACCGTGCTGTTTGAGGGTGGGTTCAGGAAGTTTAACCAAGGATGGGCTCCAGCTTGGAAGACTAAACCCCTGGTCCCGGTGAGTGACCCCAGATTGTATCCCATCACAGTATCCTGAGACATATACATTTGCCATCATTCATTTACTAAGAAGTGGTTGCCCCGGCATATGAGTTAGTGGGGAAATGATCAAATATATCTGTTAAGAGATCAATATTCTAACTGGATCCCACCTTCACCCTTCTCCAGCTTAAACTACATTATTTTATTTAGTAGTTCCTCTATTTTGGGTTTTGTTCAGATTTTACCCATTGTCAGAAAAACTATTCTCAAGTATTACCCTCTCTTTTAGAGTTGTCTTAGCATATCCCTTAAGGAAAAAATATGAAGTACAAAAGACATGGAGATCTCTAGGAATTACTAATACACTGTTTTTATCTTCCTCTGCTCTCTGTCTTTAAAGCCTGAACTTGCTGCCCCTTTCTGTTTCCTAAAAGACTGTTTCTGACTGCTCTGGAAGGAGAGTGTTTATGACAGTGGTGGCGAACCTATGGCACGCGTGCCAGAGATGGCACTCGGAGCCCTCTCTGTGGGCACACATGCCGTTGCCCCAGCCTCGCCTCCCTCGTGACCCTCTTACCAGCAGCCCCCCTGGAGGAGAGTCGCCCCTGAGTGTGGCCCACGTGAAGCAGCGCAGCCAAGGACATGGCAGCCAGGCAGCATAGACAAGACTCTGCTCTCACGTCCCATCGTGCACAGTTGATGCTGCAGGGCGTGGGCAGAGGGAGTGGCTGGGCTGCCTGGGTGATCTGCGGAGGGCCCTGGAGGCAGTGAGTGGCCCTGCGAGCAGGTGGGGTGGGGGATGGGGGGCGGAGCAGGGGGTAGAATGGGGCCGGGGCCAGGTTTTTGGCACTCGGTCTCTAAAAGGTTTGCCATCACTAGTTTATGATTTTGCAAAGGTTCCAGGATCCAACCAGTCAGCCTCTTCCCAAAGTTATGGAAAATGAATAGTTGAGTTCATCATATCTCTCTAAGATCTTTATAATGTGCTCGATCCAAAGGATCAACAAAGTATATTAGCAGCCCCCTCCTCCAATCCTACAAAGTCAAACTTAAAAGGCCACAATAATTCCTTTTATAAAAAGAAACCATCGGATGCCACCTCCTAAAATTCTGAAATCCAAAGTTGGATTTTTCTCACTACTGCTACATATTAAATTTAGCCAAAGGGCTGTTTAATAAGAAAAGTGGAAGACTAGATTTAACAGTTCAATTATTGCTTTTCAGTTTATTTCCTAAATAAATAAACAGCACATATGAATATTAGAGGTGACCACTTCAGAGCAAAGTTCAGACCTGCTTAATTGCACAAGATAGAAATAATTTAAGTCATCCTCCAAGTCAATACACATGTCATTTTATTGCGCTATGCTTTATTGTGCTTCACAGATATTGATTTTTTTTTACAAATTGAATTAAACCTTTTTAGCAATAATTTTGTAATTAAGTATGCATTTTGTTTTTTAGACACAATGCTATTGCACACTTAGTAGACTGCAACATGGGGCAAACCTAACTTTTATATGCACTGGAATCACAAATTTGTGTTACACGAACCCCGCAGTATCTGTGAGATATGCCTGTAGTTACCTTTATCTTGAAAACAAACCTTTACTCTGATTCAAGTATGTTGTATTTTATGGTCAGCAATTTGATGCTAATTAAGTCTTTATTATCCATTACCTTTTTCCTCTTAAGTGCACCCTGCACTTAAGCCAGAGGAGCCCAACCCCTGGCCTGTGGCCCACTACTGGGCCGTGGCCTCTTCAAAACCGGGCCATGGGAGAAATGGGCAAGTGTGCACACATGAAGCTCCAGTCGTGTGAGAGGCTAACAACCAGATGATTGCAAAGGAATATAAACTCTTCATTTCCCCCTCCATCCCAACCGTCCAGTCAGAACTGAAGAAGCTTCTTGGGTGTGCTGTGCAGGCTCTGAAGTTTTTCTTGATAAAAAATACAGGAAGCCAGAAGTTGCCTTCAAGCTTTATGTTTTTATTCAGCTGAACAAAGACGGGCTCCTCTAAAAGAGAGAAAACCCCGAATGTCAGAAAATCCCTATTTTTATACTTTTTTGATTGTATAAGCAATTCACCCAGCAAAGCTGACACACATAAGATAAAGACTTCACCCTGTAAGGCTGGCACACTGTAGATAAGAAGGGAGAAAGCAGACGTAGCTAAAAATGTTCCCTTTTGGGTGTTTCCTTAAGACACCATATGTTCCTGGGTCGATTAGAATATTTGCTGTTTTCTTTGCTGTCCTTTCATGACTCTGCATCCATGATTCTGCAAGTGCTCAAAGACAGCGGGGCCATAGGAAGTATCCTATGCTATCCCCTAATTCCAGTCAACATAATAGAAGCAAAACGTCTTCCTGAAGGAAAAATCAAAGTGCAGTTGCCTTTTGAAAAAGCATCTTTGAGGCAACTGTGACCAGCCTGACTGCGAATCTCCATAAACATTTAGTTGTATGTGAAAGAAGATACCAACACAATCTATGCTATCTTATTAGTAAATTTCTGTAATAAATACCCAACTAGATTTTGGCTTGCAAGAGCTAACCAAAGTTAGGCTTGCTTAATGCATGGATGAAGAACCACCAGGAAACAGCAGGGCTATAAACTAAACTGAGAAGTCTTCAAAACATTTCAGCAGAAATCAGTGGTAAACCAACTTTCAGTATGAAAAGCTACAGAGACCTCACTGTTATGAAGCCTCCAGAGGCTGACTTTGACCCAAAGCAGAGCTTACATTACATACCATTAATTGAGATAAAAGGGGCTTGATGCCAATGTAAACAAGAACAGGATTTGTCCTAGTCTGAAATCCTATGCCAACCTCCTTTAAGCAAACTCAATGCACTTATAAAACCAGAGCAAATATACTCCTAAATATACTGTTAATTTTTTCAAGACATTTTTGTTTGGAGGACATAGAAATGGTGTCCTTCAATAGCCATTAAAACAGGCATTAAGACTAACACAAGGAAATAAAAATACTGGATAGACTTGAACTTGATAAGTGTCCTACAGAAATCAACAGGTCTGAATTTTTCACGACTAACAAGCTTCACAGATTCTGATGCTATCAATCTATTCTGTAGTATGAATAAATCTGAATGTTACCCAATGCTGTTGTTCTAAGTTAAATAAAAAATTCTATATTGCAGTAAAATTAAAATAATGAGTTTTTTCAATGTGTATAAATTGAAGGCACTTTGTCTTTCTCCACCCAAACACACATGCAGGCACATGGAGCAGTTTTCTAGTATATGAGGGGCTGCCACAAAGAAGAGGTGTCACGTTATTCACCAGGACAAGAAACAATGGTTGGAAACTGATCAAGGAGAGAAGCAACCTAGAATTAAGGAGAAACTTCCTGACCGTGAGGACAATCAACCAGTGGAACAGCTTGCCCCCAGAAATCATGGGTGCTCCATCACTGGAGGTTTTTAAGAAGAGAGTCACTAGAAAGTCACTTATCTGAGTTGGTATAGGTTCTCCTGCTTGAGCAGGGGGCTGGACTAGAAGACCTCCAAGGTCCCTTCCAGCTCTATTCTATTCTATTCTATTCTATTCTATTCTATTCTATTCTATTCTATTCTATTCTATTCTATTCCATTCTATTCTATTCATTCAGAACAAAAATGCATATATCAGGAAACTCTTTCTCAAAAAGATAAGATCACCTAAATTGATATCTGAACCATTAACTTCCAACTGAACTTTTAACCCACAGTGGTAAAATGAGTCACTCACTTCCAATAATGAAAAGCACTCGAAAAATATGTTCCTAAAAAAACAGCAGATTTAAACTAAATGTTTATCCTACTTCCTTTAATTTGTAATCAACGCAAGTTACATTTTTCAAGCAATCAAGCAGGGCAATTCTATGGCCCTCCTATTCTGGCAGTCACTATGGCTTAGTTACCCCAGCTTGATGCACTTGATGTATGAAATTTGTTTTTTCCAGAGCACACAAGCCCCTTCTTATATTAGCTGTTCTGAATGCCAGTTTGCTACTGGCCCCATTCAAAACAGAGGCCGACCTTTTCAAAGGCCATCTTCTCCTGCGCGATCTCACCAACTGACTATGATCGCCCAGCATCTGAAGCAGTTTGCATGCACTAGGGAACAAGGCTTCTCTCTGGCGCCAGCCATAACTGGATGACCATGGAGTCCCTGAAGAAGGATCGGGGTATGAGTTATTTCCAGGTAGCGCGATGGATCTTATGATGGCGAGTGAGTTTGGTTTGCCTTTTCCCTGAAGTGTTTTTAGGGTTTTATTACTGTTTCTTTGGCTACCTGCTTGATTATTTGGATTTTCTTTTCAATTCTAATATGTAAAACAACTAGAGTAGCTTCTGTGCCTGGGCCAGCATTTTGCTGAAGTGTACGTGTAGGAGGAAGCAAAAAAGGGCCCCCCTTTTTTATGCGCGTCACATGTGATACAGGTAGTCTTTGACATACAACCATTCGTTTAATGACCGTTCAAAGTTACAACAGAAGTGAAAAAAAGTGACATGACCAGTTCTCACGCTTATAACCATTGCACCACCCCAGTCACATGATCAAACTATAGGTACTTGGCAACCAACATGCATTTACAATAGTTGCAGCATCCCAGGGTCCTGGGATTGTCATTTGCAACCTTTCCAGAAAACTTCTGACAAACAAAGTCAATGAGGGAAACCAGATTTGCTTAACAACTGCACGATTCACTTAGCTCAGAGGTAGGCAACCTTGGCTCTTTTATGACTCGTGGACTTCAACTCCTAGAATTCCTGAGCCAGACAGCCAGGAATTCTGGGACTTGAAGTCCACAAGTCATAAAAGAGCCAAGGTTGCCTACCCCTTACTTAGCTGTAGTGATTCGCTTAACCACCATGGCAAGAAGATAATAAAATGGGACATGGCTCCTTAACAACTTCCTTGCTTAGCAATGGAGATTTTGTGCTCAATTGTGGCTGTAAATTGAGGATTACTTGTACACATAAATATGACAAGACATTCATTGCACATTCACAACTGCCATTTTGACTTCATTCTGAATCCCCATCCTTGCAGTTGTCTCTAAAATAAGTTAAATAAATGAAAATTGTTTTCCCATAACATACAAGATGTTCATTTTGTCTATTTAGTTCTCCATATTCCCTCTGGAAATTCATCTCTTAGTGCTGGTGGATTATTTTTAACTTTCAAATTATTTTTTCTCTGTTAATTCCATAAACATATTCTTTAGTTTCCTTTTTTCTATAGCCACAGTTCATAATCTATCCTGGAAATGAGCTCCCCCATCCTGCTACATTTTTGCCAGATTCAGAATTGTGTCATTTGTCCTACAGGGTTTCTAGTTTAAATATGTGAAATAAACAATTTAAAAAACTGCCCAGAAACCCAGCCAGGAACCAGACAGCTAGATAAGGTTTATGGGGCAGCGTCGGGAAAGTAATAAACACAAAGGCAACAGTCAACTAGCTACCACCTGCCAGGTCATTAGAAGTGGCTTAACCCCAATTAATCCTAGTAAGTAGCATTTATGAGTGATTGCTTGCACACCTTGCACATCTATGCTTCGTGCAACAAAAATCACAATTCAAGACTAAGGTATCTATTGTAATAAAAGAAGAAAAAAACAGACATTGTTTAGCATGGGTATTAGTGTTTTAACTTGGCCTTGCCTTCTTAATCACAAAGGTTGTCTCAACCTACCTAAACAGGACTTTCTGCCTTTGTCTCAGTCCAACAATTTTCTAGCACAAAGGTAAAAATGTGTGACCCTAGAAGTTAATGAACTGCAAATTCCATCTCCCTGACTTAGCAGGGCCAATGGTAAGATATTAAGAGATCCGGAGTACACCAACATCTGGAGGTGTTCATACTGTACTGTCCATATGCATGCTAGCACAATCATGTGCCAATTCTACAGCAGCAGGTCTAATCTGACTCTTGACTGGGCCATATATGCTACTGTGCATTATTGGCCAAAATCATAAAGCAAATCAGGATTAGTCTCCTTCGTTCTGTAGAAAAGCCAGCACACAGTTAACACTCATTCTGGCCTCGTTCCAACAGATCACACAGATCGGTAGACAAAGTAGCCTGTTGCAGCATTAACAGATCACGGAGCACCTTAAAGACTATATTATAACTTTATCATGCATATACTGCAACTACAGTCCAACAATCTGAAACCACACTTGAGGAATAAATCTTATGAAATGCAATGACATCTGTTACAAGTAAGGACAAGTTCAGGTTTTCTAGCCTATCAAGAAGGCTAAAGCCTCTTAATTTAGCTAGGTTTTTCAGCCATGAACGCTGTTTTGTTATTAATTTTGTTATTGAGTGTCCTTAAAATATAACATTAGTTGCATTTGATGAAGTGGGGTCTTAGCTGAACTTGCTGTTTAGAATAACTGTTGAAAGATGCCTAATTATTTTAAATATTCCAATTTAGTTGCCTTTGATATACTACTTTTATCCAACTTTTTAAAAATGTTAAGAGGCACAAATGGATAATTAAACAAAACGTTTTTAATTCATAAGGGGCAGCTCCCACTCCCAAATAAGATAAAGCTTTGAATACAATCACTTGCCCTTTCCTAATCTTCGTTTCCCAGTAAGATTACGGCTGTGCATTCCGGACCAGATGCTTCGTCCCCTGTATCTTCTCTTTATCACAGAAACAATTAGCGGGGAATGCAAACGCGATAAACTAAATCCCTATGCTCGTGTTATGCACTATAGTCCAGTTTAGTGCAAGTGTACCATATTGCACTTCTTCTGCACCCAGTAAACAATAAGTGATCACCATTCCCACGCACCCTCCTTCCCTCATTAAAAAGATAAATAACCTGGATAAGACACTTTGGTGTCCTGTAGCTTCCGGGTGACCCGTGGACATTCTCCGCCAGCCTAAGCTGCTCCTTTCCCCCGACTGGCCTGCGTGGTGCTCTGCTTTACCTCACTCGCTCAGTCCATTGGCTCGGGTTCAGCCTTCCTCTGCTTTCTTAACGGGGCACGACTCCCGCGATTACTGCACGAGAGACATCCCTCACTGCAGACTCTTGGCGTACAGACCTATAGTCCAGACTAATCCGCAGTTGCCGCACGTGGAAGGCGGGAGGGAGCCACAGCTCCTGGGAAGTGTAGTTCTTACTGTGGGCAGGCCACTGCAAGAGCGCGATTAAACTACCATTCCCACAATGCAAGCGGGGCAGAGAAGGCACAGTAGAAATATGTAAACAGATCCCACTCCCTAGTACTTTAAATCAGCTATGGTTCGGTGACCCTCTCAAGTGTTGGTCTTCGAAAACGAAACCTGTTGTCAAGGCGGCAGCAAAATCAGTGTTTATTTTGCCAGCTAATGTTCGACTAATGCCTTGATCTTTTAATCACGGAAAAGGAAGCGTCCTGTTTGGAATAAAGTAATAATCGCGCTCCCGAATATTGTCACTCTGTTTTTACTCTCCGGTTGCAATCCAGAACCATTTACTTGGTGATAATTCTGTGATTATATTCGTATAACATTGGAAGCCGCAGACTCACGTTGGCTTTGTTTATACAATGGGCTAAAACAAAACGAAGAACACTTTGCATTGTTATAGTCGTGATCCATCTCCCTAAGATTTAAGTGACCTTTAAAATGCAAAGACGCTTCTGTTAAGATTACGCATTCGTTTACTTTCAATACGTTTTTGCTTCTTTTTCTCCTTTTAAGATAACACGTAGCAATTACAAAGCACACAAATGGAAAGGGGAAGAAGGACAAACGACATATTTTACTTACAATTAAAGTAACACAAATGGCCACAATCCATCTAATCCTCTCTTTAATCCAGAGTCTAAAGTTATCTGAGTGCACCTCTAATGTTGGGGTGAAGATAATTCCATTTCCCGGTTCTTTATCATCAATCGGTGCCTGGTTGGGTAGTGAGGTTGTTGAAGGAGTTTTATAGTCAAGGCTTGCCAAAGAACAACCCCTCTGTACTTGAATGAGTTACTTCCCTGCCCCTGTAGCCGCTGGACTTGTCCACTAGAGTTCACAAGCGTCCCATCTTTAATCCTTTAGCTGATTAAATAAAATAGAATTGGTGTACAGTTTCTCCAACCTGAGACAAGCTTGTCTGTTGCGACTGACTCTTAAATTTGCATTGCAAAGGAATAAGAACACCCCCCAGTCGACCTTGACTCCTTTTGACTGCTTTCCCAAGCAGCTTTTTTGGTGGCACTCTCTAAGTGGCTTATTGTTGTTTTCTTCGCAGATATTTTTCAATTCCCAGGAGTCACCTGTACAAAAGCTTCTCTCTAGACTTCCCAAAAAGAGAGAGAGGAGGAAAGCAGAGCTCAACTTTCAATTGGGAGATAGGAGAACGTTTTTGCGTAATTCTTTAACATCATTCTGAGATGTATCTTTAGCTTCAGACGCAGGAGGCTTGTTCTTCCTTATGGCAGAAAATAAGGATGTTAAAAAAAGGGTTGGCAGTTTATTTTCCAGCTACCCTGCATTGGTCAGTTTCAATCATTTCTCCTTGCTTCCCCTAAACTAAGAGTCCACTTCAGGACTCCCTCTACTCTGGAACAATTTTTCCCAGAGTCTTCCGGAAGGGCATCTGGCCAATAAATGCTCAGCTCCATCCAGTCTCACTGACTCCACCTGGAATTAAGAGATTAGAGAGTTGTAAAAAAAGGGGAGTTTTCCCATAGGGTGTTTAGTGTGTGCATGCCTATGCCTTTATGTCAGTTTTTGACTCTTGGCAGCTGCCTGGAGAAACCCCCTGAAATTTTCTTGGCAAGGTAGTTCAGAAGTGATTTGCCCTTGCCTGCTTCCTATGGCTGAGAGAGAGAGTGATTGACCCAAGGTCACCCAGATGGCTTTGTGACTAAGGCAGAACTAGAACTCACTGCTCTCCTGGGTTCTAGCCTGGTGCCTGCACCACTGTACCAAATAGTTCTTACAATTATCTTTACTTTGTATTATTTTAAATTAGGAGATTCTGTGGAAGAAGGGCAGATAAACCACTTTAGAGAAATTCTGGAAAGTCCCTTTAATGATGCATGGCTTAATATATTATTCCAGAGACATGCTGAGTGACTGGCTACCTCAAACAGGTATCCTAAGATGTTGCTTCATAACTGTTGCAGCTCTCTTCCTGTGGCCCACCAACCTTCTGGAGATCCAGATGGCTCTAACCTTACCAGCCTTAGGCAAAGCACTAAAAAGCCTGACTAACCTCCAGATGATCCCCCAGAAGTGACCTCTGTTAGTTGATTGGTTTTAATGTTGTAGTAGTGGTAGTTGTTGTAAGTTGTGAATAATTTCCAACCTCTGACAATTGCTATCTGAATTGTTGTTTAATTTTATTGTTCGATTCTAATTTTTGTGCACTGCCCAGGGTCCTTCCTGTGAGACAGATGGCTACACAAATCATTTAAATAACTGCATTTAAGTGGGCAATCTCAGACTGTTACCATCCTCTAAATCTGGGGGGAGGGGGAGATCACCCACACGTTCATTCAGAGACCAATTTTCCACCAGTGCTTTACTCTGGAAAAAGAAAGAAGAAGCACCTTTTCCCTTTCCTGTAGCTAGCAGAGAGGTTAGCAAAATCCCCCGTTAGAATGAGAATACAGATTTCAGAAAAGGCCATAAGTTGTTTATTATCTAGGTCAAGATTAAGGAGCTAACTGAGGGTGGAAGACATAGGGCAATGATGGCGAACCTTTTAGAGACCGAGTGCCCAAAAACCAGCCCGGCCCCTGGCCCCCTCCATCCACCCTGCCCCTGCTCCTGCCCCCCATCTGCCCCACCCCTGCCCCCTGCTCACCCATAGGACCACTCACTGTCTCTACGGCCCGCTGATCGCCCAGGCGGTCCAGCAGTGCCATGGCAGCCACGCCCTCCGCCCGTGCCCCACAGCATCAACTGCGTGCAATGGGGCACAAGGGTGGTGTCTTGTTCCCACTGCCTGGCTACCATGTCCTTGGCTGCCCTGCTCTACGCAGGCCATGCTCGGGGGTGATTCTCCTCCAGGGGAGCTGCTGATGAGGAGGGGGCTGCAGTGGGAGGCAGAGCTGGGGCGATGGCACATGTGCCCACATAGAGGGCTCCTAGTGCCGCCTCTGGCACATGTGCCATAGGTTCGCCACCACTGACATAGGAGAAAAAAACTTGGGGTTTGCAAGGTAGCAGCTCCTCCTCCACCTTTCCTAGCTAATCTTTCAGGCTGGAATTCAGATAGTGGCATGAACACAATAAAGGTAGAAGAAAACAGGACTAAATTACAAAAAAACTGTCCTGATCAGTCCTTAATGCACACAATATTTGTTTTGCCTTCAAATCAGCCTTAACCACCACACCAAACTAGCTCTCTTAAACAATTGTAAATACTCTAAATCTCTTCTAAGTCCACATTTCCCTTGATGGCCAAGGATGGCTTTCTTCTTCTTGGAATCTTGGATTTTTTCTCTCCTTTCCAGACAGTCCCAAAGTCAGACTTTTCCTATTTGGGCAACATGACACCAGCTGATGGATCTTTTTCCCAGTGGCTGGGCCAGTCCATTAAAGCTAAAGGAGAAAAAAAACATTGCTTGTAAGCAGGAGAACCCCATTCAACAATGTTTCTGAACAACTCTAGAGAGGAAGGAGAGAGTTTAGCACAGTGATTCTCAACCTGTGGGTCGGGATCCCATTTGGGGTCGAACGACCATTTCACGGGGGTCGCCAAACAACGCAGTCTGCCATTTTTTCCCCCTTTTCCTTAGCTGTGCTACTCCCTTTTATTCTATTGGCTTTTGAAAGCCAATAGAATAGACTCTTGAACAGAGTCTAATTGTATTGGCTTTCAAAAGCCAATAGGAATTGTCCAGGCTGTCTCTGCCCTGCTGAGCCCGCCAAAAGTCCCATTCTGCAAACAGTGCTGCACCAGTTGAGTAGTCCTCGACTTACGACCGGTTGAATAGTCCTCGACTTACGACCGGTTGGGGGTCGCGGCATTAAAAAGGTTGAGAACCACTGGTTTAGCAAGAGAGACAACAGCTTGTGTACACATACACACACAAACACACAATACCTTTTCTCTTTTTTTTATCCACATAGCTTTTCAGCCCTGGCTCTGAGATGGCGAGTTTAATGATTGCTGAGGACACATCTTCAACATTTTCTATTTATTCTCTACATCTCTCTTTTCCAATCAATTTCAGGTGGACTGGAACCTTCTTCTCAGGACCAGCTTGCTGCTGAGGCAGCCTGGAGCTGACATCTCTAGCAAATGGGAAAGGGAGAGGAGTCTTGAGTTGGTTGAGCCAAACTTTGGGTGAGGTAGGCTGAAACTCCAGTATTTTATGATGCATTATTATGATCTTTCAAAATTCTTCCAACTGAAGATTTGTGACATTTTTTGTGGCAATCATCAAGTGAATCACCACGGTTGTTAAGCAAATGCCGTGGTCGTTCTGCAAATCCTTTCTCTGCAATGTGTATTTTTTGCCAGAAACCAAAAGTAAATGCCAGTTTCCAGCAAAAAATGTTGGAAATTGTGGTCGTGTGATAGCAGCACACTGAAAAGGGGCATAAATGCAGTGGTGGGATTCAGCCAGTTCACACCACCTCGGCAGAAGCGATAGCTAATTTTTTGTTGCCCAGGCCCAGAATGGACTTCCGGAAGCAGCATCCACACAGAGACCTGGTTGTTCACATATTTGAATCCCACCACTGCATAAATGTAGGCTAGTTGCCAAATGGCCCAAATTCAATCATGTGACCACGAGGGGGGGGATGGGAAGCAGAACTCAGAATTCAAGCTGTAAGTAGCCCTGGGGAAGTCCATCATAACTTCAAATGGTCACTAAACAATTGGTCGTAAGCCGAGGACTACCTATAGCCACAAGGAGACACGAAGGCTCAGAAAGACTGATAGCTCATCCCCGTGCAGTTTTTCTCTAGATAGAAGGAAAGCAGGCACAATTATAATTAGGCACAGATGGTATCAGTGCAACTAAAAAAAGCACCAGCTGCTGAAGCATGGCTGAAAGTTGGATCCTCAAGTTTTGAAATCATTCCCTCCCTCTCTTTTTAGTTTTTTTTCTCCCTTCTTCCTGTTTGTTCATATCCTGAGCTGCATTCTTAGTTTCACCTAGGTCAGGGGTAGGCAACATTGGCTCTTTTATGACTCGTGGACTGCAACTCCCAGAATTCCTGAGCCAGCCATGCTGAGGGAAAAGGGAGAGGTTTAGAAGCTGAGCCATGCTGGCTCAGGAATTCTGGGAGTTGAAGTCCACGAGTCATAAAAGAGCCAAGGATGCCTACCCCTGACCTAGGGCATTCAACAGAAAACATTATACAGGTAGTCCTCAACTTACAACAGTTCATTTAGTGGCAGTTCAAAGTTACAATGGCACTGAAAAAAATGACGTATGACTGTTTTTCAAAGTTACGACCTTTGCAGCGTCCCCATGCGATCAAAATTCGGATGCTTGGCAATTGATTCATATATCTATCTATCTATCTATCTATCTATCTATCTATCTATCTATCTATCTATCTATCTATCTATCTATCTATCTATCTTTGGTTGTTCGGGTTTTCTCCCGCGTAAAATTGGAAGTGTCTTGGCGACGTTTCGACGAAGTCCCATTCGTCATCTTCAGGCTGGTGTTTATATATGCTGTGTCCCAGGGTCATGTGATCACCTTTTGCAATCTTCTGACAAGCCAAATCAATGGGGAAGCCAGATTCACTTAACAACCAGATTACTAACTTATCAACTGCAGTGACACACTTAACACCTGAGGCAAGAAAGAAACAGGGCAAAGCTCACTTAACAAATGTCTCACTTAGCAACAGAACTCTTAGTCTTAATTGTGGCTGTAAGTCAAGAACTATCTGTAAAGCCTGGTAGGTTCAGTAAAGAAAATTATAGGATCAAGACTATGAATAAAATATATTTGTGAAGGGTGTCAAATCAAGAGGAGGATCAGTTCATGGATTATACTATTTGTGGTTCATTGCGTAAAACACATTAGTTAGGTTCACACAACACACTAAATGCTCACATGTGTATCCACATTGGTATTACTTTAAATGTTCTGTGGAAATTAACGGCAAAGTGCAACTCAATTGTTTTGCAGGAGAATGGCACAGAAATGCAATCAATCAATTGAAAAGTATATGAG